CATTTGCATATCGTTCACTAAATATGAACGTGTATTAATGAACGACATTCTTTCCAAACACTGCTTAAAGGCAATATATAAGCTGAAAATTCTTTTTTTTTAACATGAAATAGTTATCGATTTTGACTTACCACAAGCTTTGAGTTAAAGTGGTTAATTCATTTGAAACTATATTATTAGTGAGTATACTTTTGAACGGGTACATTGACTTTAAAATCATAAAATGTAATACTCTCCTATTCTTGTTTATATTTTAGCATAGATACATAATATAAGTAAAATGAGATGTATAAAGTTTACTCACTAAATTTAGTGACTCGTAGGACAACAGGACGTGATAGTATATAAATACTATTTTTACTATTTTTCTCTCTGTTACTATATTATTAACATGTCAGAAACCTGCAAAATGTTAAATTTATAAACATAATGAAATGATTATTGATTATTATTAAAGTATTCAACAATACCCTCCAGTTGCTTATGCTCACAGTATTTTAAGTCTCATCCCACATCAACATTTCCAATTTTTACATTGACAGTTGACGATTTCAAATAAAAACACCCAAAATAGAAGTAAATAATGTAAATATTAAAATTCAGTAGATACAAGCAATTAAACAAAAAAATGACTCTAACAATTTTCCATTGAGTAGTGAGTTGTAATGTTCAAATCCAAATGTTGATATATTAATATTCCAGCCTTATCACTTTTTATCACAAAACTAGATGTTATCACAAAATAATTGGTGGGATTTTGACTTTTCCATGTTGGCAAATGTAAATTTGTGATTTATTTTCCCGCTATAACAGCATCATACTTGGACGGCTGGAACTTGGAGAAAATTAAGGGTGTTTCGACTTCAGTCCCCGAGACCGGGTGAGATGTTCGTGTGTTTGGATTTTGGACTAGAGAGCTTTGATGTATAAAATGTATAATTAATACACCTACGACCTACCTATTATAAATGTATCGACATGTATCGATGGCTCTCTAGTTAGGACCAAAGACGTAAAAAGCTATCTTTCACAATAATATTATGTCAAAAGGCGCCCTTAGGAACCCACGTTCAATTTTCGTGTCTGCTAATGCTAGCTCCAAGAGTGATCAACATCTCCCTCGCCACCACGACCCTTAAACCCACAGCTCCAGGACTGAAAAATAGTCCTGACTGCCCAGTGACCAACAACCCAGTAGGTACCTGCCTAAGATGTTTGAAAACGTCGTAATTTTTTTTTTTTGTCAAAAATATATCAAAAGACAAACTGATTCAATTACCACAAAACTTAGCACTCTGGACAAAATATTAAAAACATTCTTGAGTAGAGCCATTTTAGAACTCCATAATTAAATGTTTTAAGCGATCACATTTCTTAAAATACCTACCTACATCTGTTACAGATCCGACAGATACTGTTGCGAAAAAATTAATATTTTTGTTAGAAGTAGCCAGTAGGTAGGTAAATTAAAAAAAGGGGATAATAGGTAGCCGCTGTCAGATATAATGTATCCCGGGGACGACTCACTCCCAAGATCTCAAGATAAAAATTGTGTACATATTGCTAAAAACAAAAAGAAATATATTATAATAACAAATTTTCTGAAAATTATGACTTAGCCCCCCCCCCTCCCCCAACAATGTAACAATGTCTCTGGAGCCGCCCCTGGTGTTAGTATACCCCGTCTCCGTGTCATTGAGTAAGTCACTGTATTACTGTAATGAGTGTAATGTGTGTATTAAATTGGAATTCAATGATAAATCATTTTACAGTGTTTAAGATGAACAATAAATTCTGGGCGGAGCAATGAATGCGCTGATTGATTTTCCAATGTATTTTTTTTGTGTTTGTCATCCACTTTTTGGGGCAGTAAGCCAGTAAAGATGCTTTGATTTTCTACCTCAACATTTTAAATTTTGTTCTGGTAGGAAATTGAAGCTAGTTGGTACTTAGGACTTAGGTGGTCAAAAGTAAAAAATTCACAGTAATCTTCAGAAGCGTAAAAAAAAAACAGTGATTCTCTTATTCGGAATCAATTTTCTACACAATAGGTTATGCTTTTTGGTGGAGCTCTAAAAAAACTGTAGACAGGTTTGAAGTGACATATTTTCACAGAATGTTTATATTACCTATCAATTTCAATACATGGTAAAGGTAACATTTTCAATATATTTTTACTCTTTTGGGATATTTATAGGAATGCGAAAATTTCGATTTTTATAAGTTTACTTTTAAACTATTGTCGGTAAAATTTTTTTCACTTGGTTGAAAAACTTAGAAATTTAATACAACGTTCCTCATAAGTTGGTGATGGTCGATACTAATAAAACAATCGAGCGTCAATCGACAACACTTTTTCATATTGGTATTTTTTTTTAATATAAAGAAAAACCTGTAACTTTGTGGATTATACAATTTTAACAATTTGAAATATGCTGATATAAAAGGAGTAACTTATTAAGTAGGTAGTATATTTCAGTCATACTTGTACCCACTATAGGTTTCATAGTACTAAAATTAATAATATACCTACCAACCTACCTATGTAGTCAACGAGCTATAGTAAATTTTGGTGAAACCCAAGGTACTGTCCTTGGCCCGTTATTATTATGTGTTATTTACATAAATAGATTATTAAATTTGGATTTAATAGGAAAGTCAGGTAAGGTGGTATGTCTTGCAGAATATACAGTTTTGTTAATTGATGGAGATAATGAAAAATATGTAGGTACTTACATATAATAACTCAGGGCCGTGTGCATAGGCGCAATTGAGGGGGGGGGGGTGCTTGGGTGTGATCATCAACCCCATATTTTTTCTTGTTAGTTACCATTTTAATAGTCATGGTATCCATAACCATAAGATAATTTGGAAAAAATAGCACAGTTTTTTCGTTGAAATTGGTCGTGTCAAACTCTGGCTCGATAATTCTTAACCTACAACAATCTAAGTTTAACTCTTTTAGAAGTAATAAAAATCATTTAAATCAAGGTATCAGCAGATTAAATTTAAATGAATGTATCAACCACAATAATTGTTTAATCGTTATTACTGATGAACATTCCAAATCAAATGAACATATTTACTACATTCCTTCACTTATAATACTCTTTTTTTATAAGTTATTCTCAATATAAATTCTTTAAAAATAGTATATTCCGCCCTGTGGCACAATCTATTTTGACATATAGAATTGTAGCTTGGAGTTGTATCATGGACGTCTACAGACATGAGACATTTATCTAGAGGAGTTACCTGTAAAATTACCTGTACCAAATAAAGGTAGATGTTTCTCTACCATCAAATTTATACAAACATTTTGGAACTCTAATTTATTGCTTTTATTTAAAAAATATTTTAACGTGAGCAGTTCTGAAATTCAATATTAAATAAATATAACACAAGGCCTAAAAAAATATCAAATTTAGATTTAATGAAGTTTAGAAAAGTATTAGGGCAAAAAAGTGTAATTTGTGTAGGATTTACGTTCTTTAGAAAATTTAATATTAGTTCAAGTCATCTTAAAACAATTAAATAATTATATTCACTCGATGGATTTTAATAGTATGATAGTATACATTTGAATTTTTTTATATAATATCTAATTATAAGTTACTACATACTATATAGCATATATTATATATTTGTAATTAATTAAGTATGATTTAAATTTAAACTCAATATCCCCTACTACAAGGTATGTTTTTGAGGGGGTGTTAACTGTTAATCTTACTATAATATTGATACGTTGTACATTGTTAAAGTAACAAATAAAATAATGTGGCTAGACAGAGCATATTGATTGCTGCCAGTCACAGAATGCGACCTGGAGTAAGTAAACGCTACCGCTACTGGCTCCCAGATGGGTGACCACCAGGGTTCATAGTAGTTACAAACTTTGCCACACATACATGTGTTTACTACCTACCATAACAATCGTAAAAAAAAACAACCTTCCTTACCAACCTTACCCTTACAACAGCTAATGGCCTTAGTCACCGGGTTTAAGTTCAATAAAAAAAATAAATAAAATAATAACTTATAAAATTATATTGTAAATTACAAAAAAAATTAATACGCTTTTTACTAGAAACTTGTATAATATAATACTGAGAAAAGCTACAATACATAATATAAAAATACTTTTCAATAATTCAATTGTTTTAATAGATACAATTAACACAATACCAATTTAGTCAACAATATATTAAAAAGTACATAAATAAAATAAAATTATGAGATAGTAATTAATTATAATTGTATTTACTTTTTATTAAAATGTTTCAATTGTATACTATTTTAAAATGATAGTTTGAGAATTACTCAAAAATTCAATTTTAATCATTTTCAATGGACGATAGATATTTGATGAGAAATTGGTACAATTGAACAAGTATATTAAAATAGATAAATTGTATTTAATAAATAGATGTACTTTATGTCTAAACATTAAAATAGTAAAAATTCAAAATAGCTAGAATATTAAGATAGTGTAGTGAAATGATAATAAGATCTTAAACATAATAATGTATTAAATTATAATATTTAAATACAAGATAAACCCTATTTAATATTTATTGAATTATTCAGCCTTTTAATTAATTGTATGTCTAAGTTATAATTGTAACTTTGATTTTAAAGATGTATTAACAGTAATTCTAATTTCATTCAGTTAAATTTCAACAAGAATTGTCCTAAATGGCTACATAATAGGAACTGGATTCAATTTCATGGTATAATTTTTTTAATATATAATTACATACATACATACATACAGCAATACCAAATATTATTTAATCATATTTAGGCTAACATTTTTATTAAAATTATGAAATAAAAAGAAAATTCTGTAAAATATTAACAGTAGAACTCATACATTTTTAAAAGAAACTAATTAGGTAATTAAGGAATGTTATTCCTCTTGTCAATCTTCTTTATATTCACCAACATATGTAATACTCTATAGAACTTGAAAAAATAAGAATAAAATTAACTCAATATTATAGGAAACAAATGATTTAGTTTAATAACATAAACGATTGTTTAAGATCTCATAACATATCCTATGCCTTAACTTAGGCATATCATCTTGTACAAAATCCAGTTTTGCATCACGAGATAGGTACTCTGCATTGATACAAGTAAACACTCCACAATCATAACCATTCTTTTGTGAAGGACAATCCTCGGCTTCCATTATTTGCCATCCACTACTGTTAAATTGTTCATTCTTCTTGTTCTCATACTCTTGTTTAAGATAGTCAAAAATTAGATTTAAACATTTAGGATTTGGATGACCCAAACTATCGTAATATTTTACAGTTTTTTCAATGAAGTTTACACATATAAGACACCAATGGTTGCCCAGGTGAATAGGACTGAACATTTTTTTACATGCAAATATATCTTTTTTTCTTGACCACCGACGAACAGATTGATATCCTTGTGATCTATACAAACAATTAATATATAAGTTAAATAACAAGTTAAATATTAGTGAATTATAAATCTTATAACTTACGATAATTTAGAATAAAAGAATGTATCAAACGTGTGAATGTTAGTTGGATCACGTGCAACTATCATACTCAAATAATGATTTATAACTTCATCATTTAACCAAGCAGAAGAACCATATACAGTTTTCAAATCCATTTTTTTAATAGTTTTCCCTTGAACAATGTACTCATTTAATGAACCAGACAATTGAAGTTTAATCGATTCAACTACTTCTTCAGAATAACCAGGAAAAACTTCATTTTTCTTTTGTGGTTCATTTGTATCTAATTCTTTTTTCATAATCTCTAGTTTTTCTTGGAAAATATCGTCGGGTGATTTTAGTTGGATTCTTGTAGCAGAAGTTAAAATGGCATCTGCTTGTTTCTCTTTGAATTTTCTTAATATACGTTCATAAAACAACTCTTTCTTGATAATTCTATTGCTATAAATACTTAATTCTGGAACATCTAAATTTTCTTTACCAGATGTTTGAGATGATTTAGATTGATTTAAAATATTTTCTTTATGATTACTCATTGGCGATCTAGAACTGGAAACTGACAAAATGTTGGTTTCTGGTTTTGGAGTAACATAATGTTTTAAAATCATTGCAAATGATTTATCCATGCTAGCATTAGTTGATGTATCATTAATTTTTAATGCAGAAAATCCACCTTCCATACTCAAACTTAATGGTTTTGATCCTATTGATTAAGATGGTATTAATTTAAAATATAAAATACGTATACAACATTATTTTTTTACCTTTAATTGAAGATCTTTCTTCTCGGATAGCTTTGGTACTAGCACTTCTGACCAATTCTGTACTTCTGTTACTTATAAGTTGTGGATTTGATAGACTATACGATCGAATAATTTTAACTTTGACATCTTCATCATTACTTTCAGTTAGATCTATAGTCCTAACTGGTGACATAGTTCTTCTTGGATGCTGTCTACCCTCAATGAGCATAACAGGAGGACTGGCTCTGAGCGGTACAGTTGATGGCCCAGGTTCAGTGATTTCCACCTCTTCGGTTTCAGATAGGAATTCATCACTGATCTCAACAATTTCTACAAGGCTATCATCCATGCGCACTCTTTTATTACTTATAGTTTCGCATTCTTCGTGTTTACGTTTTGTTGGTCCTTTAGGTCCAGAAAGTCCAGCCTTGTCAGTGAACCAGTTTTTTATATTCCTTAATGATCTTAAGAAACCCATAACATAAATGTAACATAAAGGATAATTTGAAATGAATATTGGGCAGCAAAATTGTAACAGCTGAAATAAAACAGAAAATAAGTAGTAATAATAAGTATATCTGTAACCAACAATATTAAAAAAATTCACAAAGAATTTAATATGGTTCAATAATATAAATGGGGTACCTAGTCCGGGATAATGGGAAAGTGGACAAATTTTGATAGTCTTGGATAAAAATATTGTAGTGTTTCACAAAACAAGGTCCCGTATGACAGGAAAGTACCAAAAGTGACTTAAAATGTATCAAATATTACTATAAATAGGCACCTGTACATGTTACCAAGTCTAGATCGATATTGATCTTCATTTAAATTATATAGGTAAGCACAATATATATAAGATGTCATCGTTTTTGGGATAGATGAATAGCAGCGGGCTATCATGGTAAGAGTGTATTACGATTTTTGTGACTGACAACTAGCGATCAAATTTTGTAAAACATAAACCCTTGATATTGAACCTAGGTATAAATAGATGAATGCTTACTATTACACAGGTCTGCGAATATAGGTGATAGCTGAAATACAATTTCTGACGATTAGTGTTGAACAGAAGACAGTGCGCATTCGAGTCAAAATTAAATTTCCACTCACAATTTTGGCATTATATTAATTAGATTAATAGGTAATAGCTAAGACATAAACATATTAATATTTAAGGTAAGTTTACGTAAATCAATCTGCAAATGAGCGACCAGAAAGAACTTGTCCCGTTACAGTAACAAGTAAAAACTAAAAACCTTAAAACCTGCTATCTATCAACTAACAGGGCATCAAGCTATCAAATTGAGAACACATTTTAAAATCTAGGTGCACGAATCACGATGCACGCACATTTTAGTTTTCGCAGTGCAAATAGCAGTGTAGCACGGAATAGAAAAAGAAACAAAGATTTTATCAGTGTGACCAACAACATGCAAGACTAAGTGGACTAACAATGTGTCAATGTCAGCCTGACATAACAGTTGAACACTTGAACATCAACATTTCGACTTTCAAGTCTCTACTGTAACTGTTTATGAGATTCAACAAATTACATAAGACTTTGAAAACAATGAAAACTACTAAACTAGTACCTTACAATAATATTTCAGTCATTTACTACGGGTTTTCTCAATTGTTAACAAAAACGTAAGAATTTTCTTCTTTTAACTCCGAATACCAACTGTAACTTAGTTTTAACTATCTACCTGAAAGCGGAAACCTCCGGCATTGTTGAAAAGAAAACTCAACTGATTATAGTTATGTTTCTGTTTCAAAATGTCTCGTATGGCACAAAATATAAAATAAAATACATTATTGGAAAGCCATTTGCACATTCCTTGTTAGGTGCTCCGCTTAGAATCTAGAAATATGCCATTCCAGATTCTAACCAAATCTATGATTTTGTAACACTTACGTTAAAAAAATTAGTTAATTTAAATAAGTAAACAAAACGTATATTGTAAAATAGTTTATTAACTATTTAAATGCTCTACACTACAAATATTTATTTATTTATTTTATTCATCTGGAATTGAAGGTTTATAATATTCCTTAACATTTTCTGGTAATGACTTAATTTCGAATGCACCAACTTCACTCAAAAGTTGATTTTTCTCATAGAAATACTGCCTGAACCAATTTATGTGATCTTTTTTTTCTTCAACAGATAGGAATGGATTTTTTGACAATCCAACACATACTAATTCCATAAAATGTCTGATTGGTCCTTTCTTCGGGCACCATTCATCAATTAGTGGTTCTAAGAACACATGTTCCGCAAAAAACACATTGCTTTCATCGTCCATACCTTGTTCGTTATTAATAGGAAATTCCCACAATTTTCCTTGTTCCGTCCAAATAATCATTTGTTCATAAATATTTTTCGGTGGATGTGTTACTGCTGTTTGTAAACTCTTTTCATGCAATCGATCCCAAGTAGGCAATGTTGGAATATCTTTGTTCGTGTCAATGTTTTTAAATATACCAAGAGGTTCACTGCTAAATAAATTAATAGGCATATAATTATCCATTGGCTTTCTGTATTTTTTAGTTCTTTGATGATCACCTGAACTGTGGCCTAACAATTCTCTTACTCGTTGAGCTCTATCGACATCACTAAACTCTGGAGACTTTTTAGATTGGGTACGATCAATTTTCATTCCAGATAGTAAATCATCTAACTGAACCGAAGATTTCACCTTTTTTTCAGAAGAGTTATCAGGTTCATTGTTGTAAATTCTCAGCAAATTCAATAAATCTGATTTAGTTTTATTGGTATCACCTCCAATTGATTGGGCAACTTTGGTGGCTGCATCAGATAATTTTTCACCCAATGGCTTATTTTGTTTAGAATCATCAGTTTCTTGTTTTTTTTGTTCCGCTTTTCTGGCCAATTGTCTAGGTTTCGCCAATTCAATAGGTTTAGATTGTTGAGGAGGCATTTCGGTGTCATTCCCTTTCTTCATGGTTTTCAGTAGATCATTTAGTTTGTCAACAGCTAATTGGTTTTTTTTTGAACTATTATCATCATCTGATTTAAAACGTTGAGTTAGACAATAAACACCACGAATAGCATTACGTTTTGAACCGTTAATATATGGTAAACACTTGAGAGACAGAGTGGAATTCATGTTGAATATTGTAGTTACTGATATTCTATACTTCTAAATTTCCTAAAAAAATTAATAAAAAATACAAATAAAAACTGTTATTCAGACCGAGATAAGTACTAAAAACAATCATTTATCTTACTTGTATTTTCAGGAGTACGAAATCAAAATGTCAACTTAAAAAGTTCAAACAATAAACTTACTTTACAATGCTATTATTTGTAAATAATAACATTGATTTAAAATGTTAATGTCTAAAACTGATGATAATAAAAACGATTTTAAACAATATAATAATTAGTAGCCAATAGGAAATAGCTACCCACCTATATCATATATTATTCACTCAGAGTGCTCAAGAAAAAATAATTTATAAGTCAAGACTCGTGTTAGGACTTAGGACGGCATTTTAGAAAAGCAGTGTTTCCGACTATTTGATAACAGGACGAGAAATCAAAATAAATGATAATTGATAACAGTCAACTGAATTACGATCATAGATAAAAGATAATAGCCGTTACCAGCGTTAGGGTAGATTAAACCTCACGAAACCCATCTAAACCTCACTAAACCCATCTAAACCTCACGAAACCCATCTAAACCTCACTTAACATCTCATCTTTCAGGAAACTGAAGAGCCGTGACGGCCAATTTCTTACGTACGTATTAGGGGTTAGTATAACACGGCGGCAGTAGATGGCGCTGCTGTTATCGAATTATTTTAGAACTAAATAATAATACCGGCCAACGCCGTTAGCAGCTTTAGGGTAGATTAAACCTCACGAAACCCATCTAAACCTCACTTGACATCTCATCCATAGATAAAAGACGATAATGTGAGATGTCACGAATTATCTTTTACATAATATTATATATTAATATATTATTATTATTATATAGATCTTTGTCCGTGACACCGGCAGTCGGCACATTTATGACTGATTCATTAAAGTTAAGACTCGCAAGACACAAACAATTTCAGTTGAAAATTGACATTTCACATACTCCTTGTTTTTTGATTTTGAATTTGATTCAAATTCATCAAAACATAAACGATTTAAATTAATTAAAATACATGCCTTCTGTAATAATAAAATGGTCGTAATTTAATTCCATTCAGTTGACTAATTGTCGTTCTTCGATTATTGATGCTATCATCTTTATATTTAGTATAATAATACATTTTTTTTATTTTACAATGCCCTTCAATTGGACCACAGAATGTAATAATAAGATTCTTGCTATTACAAAAATTGTTCCCAACACAAAAGTGTTTTGGAACTTCGGTTTTCCAGTGTCTTTCAGCCACAAATAAAAATAAAGTTAACCATTTTTGATCGAGCTCTAGGAACAATTCAGTACCTGATTCCTCACAAATTTAATTTATTGTTCTTATTAAAATAACATTTTATACTGATTTCAGTTATAATTTCCAATGAATCGTTCATATTTAATTATTATGGTTGAAATTATTAAATCTACACATGAATAGTGTTCTGATTTTTATATTAACATGCTTTCAAAATAAAAAATCAACTACTTAAATATCATAACCAACAAGCTCAAACATTATAATACGTTATCTAAAATAAATGAATTGAAAATATTATTGTTAATCATTTATTTTTAATTAATAAAATAACATCAATTGTTACAATCAATATCTTAACATTAAATATGAACATAGGTATTCTTTTAACAGTTCAGTAACTTTGTTTAACTAATAAATTGTAATGCATAATAAACAGACAATGTAACATAAACTTAAACGTATTAAAGCAATTGTTATTAGGTATTAACAATAATAATAAATTACAAGTTATTAATATATTCATAGTATTTACGCTAGTATTATTGTTGGCATTGAAGAGAAAATAATCTTAATTATTACAGTTTAAAACTTAATGTAAAAACATAAATAAAACTTAAAGACATAAATAAAGTAAACTACCCATAATGCATTTTATGCACTCCAAGTTTTTTTTATATAGGCTAAATTTAAAACATTAATAAAGTGAGTTTTATTTTTTAAAAAATGTTATAATAATAGGTGTAAAACAGATTATATTCAACATATTATATAATAATAAAACTAAAAACATTTTTTATTAACAAAAAAAAAATTATAATAATAATACCAAGAACTCAATATTTTATATTAAAAATCATTTCGGCCAGTATATTAATAAAAATTATCAAAATTATTAAAAACAAAACTATTTGTAAACAAGAATTTAAGTTAGATATACTTTTTACATGATGAAATATAAACATAACATATACATTACACTTTAATTATTTAATATTAAAATATAATGTATCTAATGCTGTAAATGTAAAACAGCAATAGTTGTTATATTATTTGAATTTAGTTGTTATATTAGAAGGTTTAAAAATTAATATTAATATGTAATTCATTAAATACTTAAAGTTAGAGATTTAAATAATAAATTTGCCTTTATTTCTGTACTTTAAGGACTTTAATAATAGTTTTGTAATTATACAATTTTAAACAATATTTATTGCAAACCGAAATTAATTTCAGAAGTATAATGACAATATGACAACTTCTTTTTGTATGCACACTGAGCAAAAATAATAAAACATTAAGTATAATATTAAAGAGTGCTGTATCACAGCTTGTGACGAAGAAATGTTTATCATGCCGCAAATAACTTATGTTATTTATAACTAGCGTAACTATAGAAAAATCACATATTTTCATAAAACGTATACAATAAAAAATTCACAAACTTTTTATAAAAAAATAATTTGAGACCCTTTTTACAAAAAAAAAAACTATAATTATCATCACAGAGTTCAAGTTACAATCTAAACATAGAAAAAACAGAGTTAAGTAAGTTACAATATTGTACTTTCAAAATGAATAGTACCGCTTCGATTTTTGTCCAACCAGACGCCGCTTATGCCATGTGCTTAAAGCCATCGAGACTCGTTTAGAGGTAGTGGTAGATTTTGTAGTTGAGAAACATTTTGCAGATTGTGTTTTTCTACAACTGGCTAAATATTCCTTTTTAAATTGTAAAGAAGAGATCTCAGCTGATTCCGACATTTTTAACGTAACACTATTGCATACATCAATAGCATTTGGTCGATTAAGAGGATTTGGATCAATCATATTTGCTATAAGCAAACTTAATCCAAAATTTTCTATATCTGGTACAAATCCATCTCTTAAAAAATGCCATTCTGGTCCATCACTTGGCAATCTTAAAGCTGAAATGGCTTCATATGCAGTCATTCCTAATGAAAATATATCAACTTTCATTATTGTTGAACTATCATATTTTCCACTTAACATTTCTTTAGGTAAATATCGCCCATCGCCATCTTCCACATCACTTAAATTGTCTGTATGCGCTGCATGACCAAGATCACCAATTTTGTAAATTATATCTCTATCATATTCATCTGTTTTCATGAGCTTAGAATGACTTATCATGATGTTTGCAGGTTTGATGTCTAAGTGTACCATTTTTGAAATATGCATATATCGAAGGCCACTTGCTAAATGAGATAATAAACGCTCGATGTCAGCATTATTGAAATTGTGGTGCTTGGTAAATATCATTTCATCTAGATTTCCACCATCGCAATATTCAAGTTGTAAAAAAATTGAATTACTCTCATTCCATGCAGAATGATAAGCAACTATATTTGGATGACTACTTAAGGCAGCATTAGCATATATCTCTTTACGTGCATAATTTTCTCGTCTAGTTCCAACTACTTTTTTAAGTGTTTTTTTAATAGCATATGGCAGTCCTTCTAGCATGTTAATACATTTATAAACCTCACCAAAATCTCCTTTTCCAATAAGATCTTCTACTTTAAATTCTTTAGAATACCTGGATACTTTAAGATCAGTTAGCTCAACATTTGTTAAATCTTTAGACCAGTTGTCAAGTGTTGATGATTCATTATTATTATTATTGTTATTGTTATTTGTCCATTTTAACCGTAAGTCAGTTGCTGCTGGAGAGAACGGGTTTATGCTAATTTTTTTATGTTTAGATACTGTAGATTCATTGAGTAATTGACATGAATTCCTATTTTCACATAATTTAGATTTTTCAGAACATTGTGATCTATCCAATATACCTTCTTCGTATTTAAGAACACAAATTCTCTTTATAGGAGGTGAATACGATACTTCATCTTTTTGAGGTGAATCAGCTTTTGAAGGTGAAGCTAAATGATCAACAAATCTCAATGGTATTGTAGATCGATGTTTACGAATGACAGGTGTTATGGGTGGAATATAATGTAAATGATTAGGTGGTGTTTTAGGAGAATCTTGTGTGTTGGCAGCAATAAGACAAGTTTCATCAGAGTCACTGAAATTCAAACGTCTAGGTAACAATGAAACTGGGCTGTAAAGTCGTTGTACGTCCACGCCGTCCATGATTGGTCAAATAAATTTGTATTTTTTTCAGGTATAATTTGTCAACAAACAAATTGAACATTGTAAACACTATCTTGAGTTATGCAAGACCTGAAAAAAAATGTATAGTCAATTTTACTGTTAAATTAATAAAACTACATTATTTATACCATGTGAATGACAATTATCAAAATAAAATAAGTACAGTCACGGTTAATTGACTCATTTGTTTATTAGACTCAAAACGGCTGGTCCCGATTTGCACATATACTAACACACAGCAAAAAATTTGATTATTCGACTCACACCGGTTAATAGGGTCATTTGAAAATTAGATAAATAAATTGAATATGTACATACACTGAACAAACGTGTTATAAATGCAAAATAAGTCGGTACCAGTATTTTGTGATTCAAATTTTACATAGAGGGATTCAGCAAAGAGGCGATTTTGACTTATTCAGCAACATAAATCTTACAAAGATATGATTATGAAGTTGGCCCAAGAAGGGAAAATCCAATCAACCCTAGATGGATTTTTATCGAAAATTAATTAGATTTTACATACATTATAATATTACATATTATTTTAATTTTATACAAACATACCTTGAATTTCAATAAATATATTTAATAAAATACCTAAGTTTTAAATTTAAGGATTTTTAAAAAAATTTTTTGGGTAATTTGCTTTATTGACTCATTCGGTTAATGGACTCAAATGGCCAGGTCCCAAAGTGAATCCAATAAGCGGCGATCACTGTATTACTGTATTATACTATTACCAACTACCTATCTACAAGGACTAGGTACCTAGGTTAGTTAACTATTTTTCATGTGTAAAAAAAAAATAGTCCCATTTGTACTTGTAGGTATTAAAATATACCTAGCATCCAACTATTTTAGTAAAACAAGTTTTGTACTAAAAATAAACAAATCTGGCCATGAAAATATAAATGATTAAATTAATTAATAATGATTCATGAAATTCCCTGTAATTTTCCAATGCAAAATTAAATATAATTATTACATAACATTAATAAATTACAGATTGAAATTGCCAAGTTAAAAGTATCAATCCTAAGATCTATTACAAAAGTTAAGCCAATAAAACTATTGGTTTATTGTTTATTAAATTATAATTTCATGAAGTTTTAAATAAATTATATTCAAAATGAAAAAAAAAGATTATTTTTTAAAGGTTAAGAACTTATAATTGATATAAACGGAATTATTGTATAGAATTAGGTAGGTATAACTAGCGGTTCGTTGTTCATTTGATATTATTAAAATGTACCTTAGTCTCAACATGAGCAATCTTTAATTGGTTACCGATGAACTAACCAAAACTTCAATTATACATTATACGACAAATATGAATCTAAATACTGCGTAATCCGGTCACAAGCATGAAATCATGTTTAAAAAAAAATGTTCAACCAAGTACCTACAGCAGTCAGAGTAGTACCTACTTTTCTAATATACCAGGATAATAATTAATTTAAAACTGTAGTTTGTGTACTTACATGGCTGCGAGGACATTTTCGATCGTCGATACTGTGGTCCGACGGATGTGAGAACAAATGATTTTTAAAAAAAAAACACTTTCACCACGGATAAAAACCACTAGTTTCGAAAGCGAATTGACAGTTGACGGTGTTCGAGGGCAGGTCGCCGTGGAAACGACGCAATAACAACAAAAAAACGAAACGAACAGTGATGAGAAGGCAGAAACCCGTCGGCTTCTAACAGGATTTAAACGCGATTACGCGAATATAACAAAATTAAACGAGCGAACAACTTGAAACTGGCGATAAAAACTTGACTAGCGGGCTGGAGCGCGCATGACTCATAGGGATGTCGGGTCGTCGAGATAATTGTAATAACATTGTTAAAATAATATCAAGAAGAGCCGAAAAATGTGCGGCACGTAGAGCGCCAAGCCACCGGATTGGCCGGTGCGGGTCATGTGACAGCGGTCCGGCGACACTGCGGCACGCAGTGTGTCCAACACTCTAACGCAAACGGGCGGGTGATTGTTGTCGTGCTAAGGTAAAGCGCGGGAAAACGACGACGACGGCATGGCAGCTGTTGCTCGCTTTTTGGAGGGCTGCTGCATCATGCACCGCCGCCGAAGCCTTTTATTATTGTCGTGTTATTTGTTATTGTTATCGTTATCGTCGGGCGAAGGGGGAAAAATAATAAAAAATATGGAAATAGCGGGACGGTAACAGCTGCAGCTGCGGCAGCCGAACTGCATCAGCTGCATTATGGTTAATGCCTATAACATACGTAACGTCCTGATACCGAACTCGGAACTACACAAATTATACTACACGGCGTTTCAAGACCTGCCAAATGTTGTTGTTGTTGTTGTTGTTATTGTCGTCGTTTTCGTTTTCTTGTCCCACGTGCGTTTGTTTATAATTGCGCCCGCGTAATTTTAGTTCGCGTGCTCCGCTTTATGTATGTCTAGATAAATTACTATTTATTTATTACTTATTTAAAAAAAATATTACATTTATTATTCTGAACCAGTTTCGTAAATTATCTGTACTATAGCAAGTATATTTAAACCCCCCCCCCTCTTAACCAATTCTGGCTGTTCCATTCACCTTAGCTTAATCCTTAAGATATTATGCTGCATTATTGCACTATTGCAGATCTCGACATTAAAGTTTGACCTTATAATTGAAAGATAAATGTTAATACATTTATAAAACATTTAGTTTTTATTAACGAAATTTGATTGTTTTTTAAACATATTAATATGGTCATAATATAGGTTGCATAAAATAAATAGGTAATAAATAAAATAGCCAATTGATCGAGATTACAATAAGGTTTGAAGACCATATTTTAGATATCGTACGTATAAAAATATAAAATATACCTGCATGGCTGAATTACATTAAACTCTATAACAGAATTACTTAAAATGTATTTATGACTAATGAGCTCCCCCCGTGCGGCCGTGCTTGAAATTGTTCTGTTACAAATTTACGAAGAAAAGAAATAATATTGTATAATAAAGAATTTTGGACAATGGGAAATAATTATGTGGGTATTCAATAAATAAAGAACAATTTTACTCGGTAAAAAAAAAATATGACATCAAATTATTGTGACTCATATCCTATTTATTTTGATCCAAAACAAAAAAAAACCTATTTAGATATTATTATGATGATATGATTTCTATTACCTTATAACATTCGTCTATAGGGTTTTTACTGTTTGTTTTCATTTTCTCGACGACGCATTCAACTAATTCTAGGTAATAACTAATAACTTTAGATCTTTGATCTACATAATAATATCACAAATATTTGATTATTATTAAAATAATTTGTATACTTGTTGGCAAGTGGCAGCTAGTCAAGTGTAGCTATAAATATTTTTAGTGGTCATTACAGTAATTATACCGGAAATTATTGATGTTGAAATATATAATTAAACGATAAATGTTTGGTTACAAAATTATTGTATATTTTAGAGTAGTTTTTTGAAAGCAATAATAAAACTTATTGCCTATATCCACTATATCCGTCAGACGAGTCAACCAATAATATAAAAGTGCAATTATACATTGCAACTGCAGGTCTGTAATATATTATTATTCTACCTCGTTCCCAATTTTTTACTTTCGTTTGCACTTGTATAATTGTATGCTAAATATTTATGTAGTACAAAAAACTACATTAATGTAATATGGAAAATACAAATATATGATTTTAAGTATTTTTAACTTGTTCTAGTAATATTTTTAAGGTTTAAAAATTAAAAGTCATATTATAAAATGTCAATAATGTACTTTTTATTTAGGTAAGTATTAGTACTGAAGACAAATTTCGTCATCATTTCCGGATGTTCGTGATTGTTGATAATGAAATTTGAGTTAAATTTCGTGCATAAAACATTGTTTAAGTGGTAGTCAATTAAAAAAAATCCTGTCTTTATTCTATGGTTGCTGAAGCACTATAATTAATAACACGATAATTAATCTGTTTTGTAACTCCGTAGTTGTCCATACTTCAATACTTGATTAATAAAATTATTCAAAATTAAATTTAAGTCCTTTATGCACCTTAATACACCTTTTAATTTGTTTAGTTAAGTAAACAATAAACTTTTATTCGCATTTCGTATGGTAATAAATTGCTTTATGCTTAATTAAATAGGTATAAACAAAAATAAATAAACCTACCTATTTCCTCCAAGTAAGGCGTAGAGTATATATAAACTATATAAAATAGTTTATGTTCTGGAAAAAAAAACGTATTTTTCAGATCTTTTAATATAAAATATTCTTTATTGAAATCAGGCCCGGCTCTAGGGGTAGGTGACAGGCCCAGTGCCCACGCCTATAGAGTGGCATTAAAAAATATATCACGTAGTATTATACCTTATAAAGGGCGGTAAAACTTAAATTTACTTAGGTGTGTTTAAACACATGAGTCGGGCCTGATTGAAATCATTTGTGTGTTTTAACAAAATATATAATATTATAAATTATAATAGATTCAAGATAAATTATACATCCATGTTTGTATGTTAGGTATATAAAATGTTTTACTTTAGGTATATTGCAAGTAAGCAGTAATGCACTGTCGCACAGTCGCAATAAATAAATAACACTATGTACCTACCTATTGTGTAAAGATAAATAATATCAAAAATAATAATAGATTGGACATCTGTAGAATGTAGTACAATTTTTTGAAAGAAAAAACCATATGCTTTAAGACGTGGAAATAAAAGAAAAGAAAAGTGTCAAACCGACCTTTTTGGCGTCTCTGACGATCAAATTGTTTTTATTATTTTTACCTGGTAGGTATCTAGATATTTCCAGTTCGACCATTGTCGAAACTTCACACTAATGGTGCATTCATCTCAACAAGTCTTCTGCAGCAGATGTACGTTCATATATTATTATTTTTACCGAGTATTTTGTGCATGTGTGAGTATACAGGGTGATTCGTCAATCATGCTCATTTTTATTAAATAATACAAATTTTAAAATTTGATATTTGGAATTTTTTAATGTACTAAAAGACCAAATTTTCAAATTCTTGAGAATTTTTTGTAGGAACTACTTAAGTTTTAAATAATGTAATGTGGAGATTTAAATAATAATTTTTTGAAAAAATTGACGGAAGTACCATAATCAGTATCGAAACAGCGTAGTTTTTTGAGTTATTTAACTTTGTGGACTAAGAATAACAATATATCCATGGTAATATAGGTTCGGAAGGTATGATGGGAGTTAATGGGCTATAAAGAAATTCAAAGAATCAATGTTTTAGTAATTAATAATAATTTATCAAGATTATTTACAATACATTTTGTAAAACTGGTCCAAATATAATAAATATAATAAATTCAATATTACATATATTTTCTATTTTTCTAAAATAATTTTTAATAAGAACTAATCCTTAATAAATATTTTAGTTCCAAGATTTTAAAAACTAATGGTTTGAATCTTAAATTAGGTACATCAGTATTATTATATTAATATTATTATTATTATTATTATTATTATATTATTAATATTCACTAAATAATTTACAGAAAATATGGTATTTAAGTATATTTAAAAATGTCGGCTGTCAGAATTCAAATAAATTCATTATTAAAGGGAAAGACGTAGCTAAGCATACTTGGTTGATCACTCTGTATAATGCATAGGCATAATATAAATAACGGAAATATGGAACTAGTCGGAGATGTTTTAAACCTGGGGACAGGGATCAGTGTTTGAACTGCTTTTCGTACATAATATAATATAATAATTGTATACCTATATATATATATTATATTTATGCCCATTTAATACCTACGTTCCGTTTTCTTGAAATATATAAAAGACGTACGGTGTGTGTGTGTGTTTATACATATATATATATATTATAATAATAACATATATTTAGCCTTATATGCACGTCTTACGGAATATTACTTCTCTCGAGGCGAAATTAAATGGCAGATGTACACATGGAACCGTTATACAAAAACCCACGCACAAACGTATAAGATCTCACCTGTTCGTCATATATTTATGTAATATACACAATACAATATGTATATTTTTTTATATACACATAAGAACCTAAACACATATATATATATACGTGTACACAAAATGTCGTATTATCATATACGTACATAAAGTGCACGGTCGGACGGTCCGCGTGTTACGGGAAACACGAAACTCGTTCCCACGCATTTGCACCCCTTTTTGATTACGTCTGACGAGGGCATTTACAAAATCCTTCCGGTGAGACGATTCAATTTAGACGGTTTATAAGAAAATCGAACGTATTCATTGGAACCAAAATATATTGTCCGCGTGCTTACACCCACATCATTTTATAACGAAGTCGCGCGTTTTGTTCTATCAAAGAGAATCGTGAGTCCTGCACTTTTTACCGACTTGATGTCTTAATGTTTCTATTGAACACTGATACACGTTCAAAATGCCGATTAATAGTTATAAACTTAATATACAGCCCTTGATATGGACATTCTGACAATGACTAATAAATGTATTAATTTTTCCATTAATTTAAAATAAAAAATGTAATAGGACATAATAATATAGGTACTTATAATATATTGGTAGGCGAATCAGTTACCTACTATTAGTTCCTAATAAATAATAATATACTTATTCCTATCTCTGTGTATATATATAACATTACAAAATAAAAGACGTTTTTGTATAATATTAAAAATTACTTATTGATTTGAAGTGGTGAATTATATGCATTTTTTATGACCTACATGTTTCCTCGATACAAGAAATATGATGAGGAAAATGCGTTCGAAAATAGACAAAAAATGTTTAATTCAAATAAACGAGATCGTAGGTATACCACCGAT